GTCAAGGTCATGACCCTGAGTAACCTCCCGCAGGTTTTAGGTGGCGATCACTGTCCGTTAAAAAGTTATTAACAAAAAAAGTTTCAAAATTAACGTACCATTTCTCGGAAATTATAAATTTTAACGTATAATTTCTGCCATATATGTATAACAAGTACTATTTTACATCTCCTTCTGTTTAGAAACGTTAAACTTTCCACGCGAAGTAACTCTCACCTCCCCCAACCCCCTGAGAAGGGGCACACGACTTCTACGATTGTACTGTTGCTATGATTGTACTGTCGGGGCAGACCTCTGTCGACGGTGTGGGTGCGGGGGGGTGGCCGGAGGCCGAAGGCCACACACTTGCACCCGCCCGCCCGCCCGCCCGTGTGTGTGCGTGTGTGTGTGTGCGTGTGTGTGTGCGCGCGCGCGTGCGTGCGTGCGTGCGTGCGTGAGAGAGAGAGGGGGAGATCTCGCGTATTATCATAACACGCGTTTCATACGTAGCGAGCAGCTGATCGCAATCCGGCGCCCGCGTCGACCAATGAGTTGCGCCGCCTCTGCCTGCCTTCCGTACGCGATCCGTAATTCGCTAACTGTTTTAGCTTATAATTCAAAATCTATGCTTCGAATAAAATTTTGACAAAGGAAAAAATGTCTTAAAATCATCTCAAGAATACGTCATTTTAAGGACAAACGTTTATTCTGAGACACCCTGTATATTAGCTGTATTGGTTGAATTTCTTATCTTGACCTTTAAATAGGTTGAGGAAAATTTTTTTACATGTGCATACATTATGTAAAGGACTTTTATTTTACAATATCTTCGTTAAAAATGAACAAAATTTAAATTTAAAGAAGAGTTTTAAAGCTTGAAATATTTACATTCGAAAGGTTACTGCATTTTTTTAAATTTCTGTAAGTTTAGTTATCTTTACATATAAAAACTGCAAGCTAAAAAAGATGAAAAATTTTCTTTTCACTTTGTGGGTCTTTCTGTGCCCAAAAAAATTTGTAAAAAATTTCAGTTACGTAAAAGCTTGAAACTTCCCTTACAAAATCGTTTTTATTTTTTAATATTTCTATAATTTTTTGCTCCTGAATTATTCGCGAGTTAAGTAAAGGAGCATTCTGATTTTTATTGCTCATAATTCCGTTAAAAGTTATCATATCGCAATTAAAAAAAAATTTCTTAAAATTGAAATTTTATCGAATGATTAGCTGTAACAAAAATTTCGTAACAAATGGTGAATTGGGAAAAAATCTTCTTATATATGTATGTAAATAATTTCACGTGAATTTATATACCACAATTTTAGTCTCTTATACTAGGTGCACAACTAAGTTTCCGGGTTTCACACATGGATGGCGATAACGACACATGTAGTCGACATACATGTCTAAAGTTGTGTTTTTTTAAAGCTTCTATACCGGGTGGTCCACTTAAATCCTACATCTTGAATATTTCGTTCATTTTTGACAATACGAAAAAATGTTTCAAATAAAAATGGAACGGTGTCGAGGGGGACACGTTTTAGTTACATTGTTTTTTTTCTAAGTGGAGGCGCTAAAAAGATATGAAGGTCACCTCCACTTTTTTAAATGGAATTATGTAATTTTTTTTAGATAACGTGATTCCTCTAACTATTTTGCATATAAAAGTATTAAGGTAGAGATACCAAAAAACCAATAGTTTTCGAGATATTTTACACTTTATTTTGGTACATTTTACACAAAATGTTAAATAACTCGTAAACTGTTGACTTTTTGATTATCGTACCTTAATGCTTTGTGAACAGAATAATGAGATAAATCAAATGGTGTAATGAAAACACATAGTTGCTTTAAAAAAAATATGTATACAAAATGGATAATTTTTTAAATACGCAACTATGTGTTTTCTTTACACCATTTGATACCTAAAGTAGAGCAGAACTATTCCGTTAGTTTCAACTTTAAAGTATAATAATATTATGAAAATTTACGATAGCAAATAATTTTTCTTTGCAATGACATACTTATAATTACATTATATAATCATGATTGTTCCTTGATAATACAAGCACAACTTTTAAATAATCAACATGCATTGTTCAGAATCGTAAATATTATCGCGAGAAATGAACGAAAAAGCTCTATTCTATCACAAATTCAATTGACGAACAGTTTAATAATTTGGTGCTCAATTAGCATTATTTTAAGATGATCTTAATTTCTTAATATACTGAAAATTTATAATTTATTGCAGAAAATATTATCTTGTCTGGAAGTCGAACTCAAATCTCTAACATTCCGTGTGAGTGTCCTAGGTAAACCTTTAGACTACCGTGATCTTAATAATATTCTTCGCAATAATTGAATATACAGGGTATCCGATATAACTGTGATTCCGATTTTTTTGGCACTTCCGATGATCTGACAAAAATTATTTTGGATAAAAGTTAATCAGTTTTCAATGGACTACAAATTGCGCAATGTTAAAAATTTGAAAAATACTCTTTTGGAAAGAAAGTCAAGGTCAACCTAATGTTTTTAAATGACACTACGTATTTTTTACTTTATAAAATTGTAACTGAAAGACGAATTCAATGACTTGCTATACTATGACCTTGAGATAACCTTACAGTGAAGAACAGACGTAGCCATTTCGGAATTCGCGATATTCCCAAATGTAATTTACAATTTATCACACACTACGTTTATATGTATGTAGTATAAACGTAAAAAACATAAGTTGTAGTATAGCGCAGCTATAACTCGAACGCTCAACAGTTCCTGTGTTCAGTCTTATAGCGTTTCTTCTTAGATGCACTATCGCCTACTAGTGCAACACTCAGACAATGTAGCGTGTTTCCTTGGCTGGTGGTAGGCGAACACGTTCAGTGTAACGTATTTCTGTGACTATAATGTAATGCAAATTTTATTCACGAAGTGGGATTTTGCTACACGATCTCAAAAGGACGGTGTAGAACCAGTGTAAACATTTAAAATTTGAAAATGGAAGTCAACCGGCAGCAAAATTAAACATGATAGCATGAAGTAGCGTATACCATGTGCAGTAGCACTGGTGCAGCACTTACATGTAATTGGTGTAGTGCGAAATTACACTCAATGTATCCCAAAAGAAAACGCTATTAGTTTGTCGTTAGAACAAATCATAGTTCAGTCTTAGTTTGTCGAAAATGTATTCCTGTAATGAGAAAGTTGATATGCTGCTAATATCCGGTGAATGTAAAAGAAATGCACGTGAAGCTGCAATTCTGTATGCCACAAGGTACCCATAGAGACATCACCCGTGTGCAATAATGTTTTATAACATTGAAAAGAATTTAAGAAATTATGGAAACTTTAAGAAATTTGAAAACAAGAAAAGGAACAAACCGTATTTAACTACAACTGCAAACAATACTTTTATGGTCTTAGAACATTTAGAAGAAAATCCGTACACTTCCATTCGTGTAGTTGCTTTGAAACTGACTTACCTAAAAGTTGTGTTCATAAGATGGTAAAATAGAATGGTTATCATTGTTACGTCCACACGATTCTCACGATTCTTTCTTCCGGAAAGGTCTACAAGTGTCGAGATAGCGAGATCATAAATAAATAACCGACAGTCCGGCTGTCGTCTTACCAAAAATCTAAACAAAAGTACTCGCTATCTCGTCATAAAAGTCATTTTAAGACAATTCATTTACGAGCGTACGTGCATGAATTATGAGAACACGAATCATTTCCTCGAAGTCTCGGCTATAAAAAGTAATAAATATACACTCTACTGTCATCGAAAAACAGAAAGGCCATAAATATTCACTTTACTGTCAGTCAAATCGCGGATGATTCTCACGAACTGCGCTCGTAAAAATTAAAATCTGTCATACGGTGAGCCTCGCGAGAAAGGGTGCACGTGCATTTACTCGATGTGGCCCCTCACGTAAATTAAACAAGTAAGGCCATAAATCTTAAGATAGCGGTGACATCGGTCAAACTCCTTCCCACCCACAAGACGCATCCTAACTCCCAACCAATCCTAGGGCTAGAAAACTTAGCCCTTTGTTTTACCAACAAATTCCTCCTCCCATCAGAGCCCGACAAATCAGGGGGAATCAGTATAAAAACCCAGATTTTTGGGTGCTCGCGGCAGTTAATCGCAGTTTTTTCGAGTCGTCAAGGGCAATTGTCCGTGTCGTAAGACCGAGTCGATTGTCTGAGACGCATCTCGGAGCGAGTCAGTTTGCCCATGGGTCGGTCAGATACTTAAACTTCGTCGGTTTTATCCGGACGATACAGTGTCGCGGTGGTTGTCTAACATTAGTTACCAGAGTCGTCCATTACTCACAAACCCTCAGCAACATACCGGCTACCGAATACCAGCAACGGCACTGATTGTGAGATCCAGTACAATCAAAGAGCATCTCTTCAAAAATTCTACCGATAGTAAGCCTGCAATTTTTTATTATATACTAAACGAGTAGAAAATCACAATTGAACTCGATTTTCATTTTAAGTGGAACCTGTTGACGGAAATAGATCTAATTTCCGAGGTTCTCAAACCGCCAATAGACCAATACGGATAGCAGTAGTCCAACCAATAATTATTAGGCTCTCCGAGCAACCGACTGAGCTGCCACTCACCTAACTTATCGAATTATCCTACTCCCCTATTTCAAGTCCCCAGTCTCCTCCTGATTCCTTTTACTATCCCCCGTCTCCTAAGGATTTCCTAACGGATCTCCTTCAGAGAGACCCTGAGCCTGCTCCCGACTCTTCTTCACTTCCCTTACTCCTTTCTTCCTCACAATCCTTCTATACCCCAGCTGATCCCCTTCCCCTCTTATTTAATCATTATGACCAATGGTCTAATTTCGCCTCAACAACACCTTCTTCTTTCTCAGGCCACAGAATAGTGGTCTATGTCCCCGGATGCGACCATCCCTTTAGTGTTCCTATATCCGCTCTTGTTCCTCTCCAACCTTTCATCCTTTCTCCTCCCTCTTTTTAACCGATTCACCACACTCATACACGTATATGTACACCATATATTAATTTATAAATTGTAACAAAGGAATTATGTTAATTATATCATTAATCTATAACCTATTTGTAACTATTTTATTTCATTTAATAAATAATATTTCGATGTTCTTTTTACATTAAAGATTGTGATTGTGATTTGATTTAAAAGCAACCTTCCCCGCATTCCAACCGTCACCCCCAAGATCGCACTCGGTCCATATCCCTGACTATAAGCATTGAGTTCCTTGGCTTAAATTTAAAGGACCTACGGGCGTACGGTTCGGGATAAGTGTCATAGAGTCCCGTATACAAGTGTTATAGTATGGCACACTGACCTAATTCCGTACCCTTTTTTAGTGCGTCCGACTGTCTCTTGTAACCCTCCGTAGGGCGAGACGATCGGGAGACACATCTGGTGTCAGTTACGTTCTTCCGAGGCCTCCTCCTTAACTTAGAACTTCCCAATAAATAAAAAAAATCCTGAGGCTTGGACGTAACATCATCCTTACAAAATGACAACATTTACGTATAACTGGTTTACAACGTCGTCTAAATTTTACAGCATATGGCTAGTTGTCACAAACGAAAGTAATCCTGAAATACAGTCTGTTTAGTAAAAGCGTAGCAAGACTTACCTACAATCGAGTAAAGATATACTCTGAATTTTTGTTTTCGCCGATAGGTGTTACTAGAGACCCTAAAAGAAGAGACTCGCCAACTCGTCACGTGATTATGGGTGATTCTGATTGGCTGGGGTATGGATCGTACATCTGCGTTCCATGAACATGTACCATAACCTATTCTAATAGAATACGCGTACATGACACATGTGTTGCAACAGATTATGTTGCTTACTGACTATGTAAGTTAATTTATCACATCTATTATATGTAAAATTTTGAGAAAGGCAATGTACATATATCACGAATAAGCTTCGAATTAATAAACGTTTCATAGTTAAAAATAAGAGTAATACGAAAGTTAGAGATACCTATTTCATTAATAATGTAATTCTCTTGTAGGTTTTTATTTTATACATTTTGGAGATGCCACATATATGTTGTGCAGCGAAATGTTTTAATAAATCCAGTGATGGATATGCATTATTTAGATTTCCCAAGGAAGACCAATATCAGAAAGCATGGGTAGATGCTGTTTTTGGCGAAATTGGTTTCCGCTTTTTTGCTTGCGATTTACAAATATTTTCAGAGGGACAATGGCAAAAACGTGATGGGATCGCACCTTTTTTTACTTCTTTCCGGCGACCTACCACCAATATATCTAATGGCTCAAAATGTACCTGAAATGAGGAAAGTATTAAATGGAGAAGCACTTTTTAAACTATTTTTATTCGGATCCTGCATAGTATTCTTACAATGATTTGCATTCTCGCCAAAAACAGCATCTATCCATGATTTCTGATATTGGTCTTCCTTGGGAAATCTGAATAATGCATATCCATCACTGGATTTATTAAAACATTTCGCTGCACAACATATATATGACATCTCCAAAATGTATAAAATCAAAACCTACAAGAGAATTACATTATTAATGAAATATAGGTATCTCTAACTTTCGTATTACTTATTTTTAACTATGAAGGGTTTATTAATTCGAAGATTATTCGTGATATATGTACATTGCCTTTCTCAAAATTTTACATACATGTGATAAATTAACTTACTAAACATAGTCAGTAAGCAACATAAGCTGTTACAACCATAGAAATAGTAGTACCTAGCTAGCAAAATCACGTGATAATGACGTAATTTTTGGTACAAATAATGTCAATTATGACATAAAAGTAACGTTATTCTGACGTATATATCACGTGATTATGTCACATCTTATTGACGTTATTTATTACGTCAGGGAGACGTAAATATGACTAAAAAGTACTATTAGTGTCACTACTAGTGGAATAATGCAGTAGTAAATTCGTATATACTTCGTGTATAAATTTAAGTAGAATACCGGTCAGTTTACCCTAATTACTGAAAAAAAAATTTTCTCTAAATTCGAGAATTAATTTTTTTTATGATGCATCCCAAACGGTCACCCATCCGAAGTTGTACTACCTCGCATGCTTAACCTTGACAATCGTACGGAAACTGCTAGTGATGCACGAAGACGAGACAAGACATTTTGAAAAATATCGTCTTGTCTCGCAAAAATATTGAAAAATTAATTCTTGTCTTGATCTCGTTATCAAGATAAAAAATAAATCTCGTCTTGATTTCAATATTCTTGAAAATATTGATTTTTTAAATAAATTTTTTAATTTAAAAAAGTAATATACTAAAGACGAGACAAACGATATTTATGATTATTTACTAAGATAAGATCATATCTCTGAATCTAAAAGTATAATCCAATCAGTGCGAACAAAACTTCCAACAGTTGCAAAATAAACTTTTTGCTGAACGCAATTAATTGGAAAAAGGAGGCAGCATAGACGATTGGGTGCACGCCCAATAAGGGTACGTTTCCACTGAGCACGTCACGACGTCGCGCGTCGCGTTGTCCATCGTGTCACAACGCGACGCGAAAAAGAGAAAAAGAGAAGTTTATAATATTATAATAAAATTGTATTGATTTTATTTCGTTGCAATAGCACAATATAGATTAATATAGATTATAATATAGACAATATAGATTATAATATAAAATAGTAATACTCCATATATCAGTGAAAATATTTATATTTATTTATATAAGTATGAATAAGCCACTAAACCTAATTAAAATTATTTCTATATTTTTTATTAGATGTTATCTATTAATTGATATATTTTCAATATATTTATTTATTTGATATTCGATATTTTCGATATTCTTGAGCCGAGAATATTGATCGTGGAAAAGTAATATTGTCTCGTATTGAAATTTATTAAATCAATATTGTCTTGATATCGTCTTGATTTCGAGACAAGACAAGACAAGAATCTTGATGTCTCGAATATTGCGTGCATCACTAGGAACTGCTGTACTTCGATAACCCACGAATCTGTATGTCAATGTCTGTATAATTGTGATATATCTGTTCAATGGAAATATTGAAAACAGATAGTTTATGTGTTCATATGATAGTGTATGTATTAGTGTATGTATTAGTATATGTATCATTTCCGCAAGTGTAATGCGCATGACATATCATTTTATCCTTGTTTTTCATCGAATATTAAAGGATAAAATGATACATCAAATAATAATACACAAATAATAAAAAAAAAAAATTAATTAGTAATGGTCATATATATGACGTCAATGTAACATCTAGTTGACGTCATATCGGTGACGTCAACTTTTGGTACTACAAATGACGTCAAAATAACGTTCCATTTATGTCACTTGACGGCATTATCATCAAAATCACTTCATAATCACGTCATTATCACATGAGCTTGCTAGCTGGATTAGAGTACGCATTGTCGGAAATTTGAGGAGTGGGGGTAATTCTATCTAGAAAAGGATGCACTCATTTGGACCCATGAAGAATAGAGATAAGGAGGCCGAACTTATACCGGGATGACGCGTCAGATTATGTGCCCAAAACTCGTCATCTGTATTAGTTCGAAATGCTGCTCGAGAGATGTCGCTTCAGTTCCACGCATCCTAGAGACCCTATAATAAGAGTCTGGCCATCACGTATATTTTATTAACTATACTCGATTTGAAGCATCGCAATTGGTCCGCCATTTTTTCTCTAATAACGTAATAATAACACGTGATACATCGCAGTATTTCATGGCTGTGACTTATTTCTTAACCTGAACAGTTGTCAACTTTAACGATTTTACGTCATATAGCCCAAAGGTTAGGGCTGAAGACGGTATATTTTTCCTTCATCTGAAGGTCTCTTCTAAGAAAAAAAGCTTTAATAATTAATATTTTGGTTCGCAGAGATAAACGTCATTTTTTGAGTGTATTTTTATCAAAACCCTATGTGCAATAAGAATCGCGCTTATAAAAATTATTTAATTGATAAGTTTTTAAATGTTTTAAGCAACAGTCATATTTTGTTGTGTCGTAAGTTGTTTTGTAATTTAGATAAAAAAATAGCTAGTAGATATGCAATTTACAGATTGTAGATAGCGAATAAAAAAAGAGTTATTAAACGCGAATATTATACATTGCCATTGACAGTAAGTCAATGGCAATGTATAGTGCAATAAAATAAAGCAAACTGTTAAATTCTATTTGTTTAATTTTTTCCTTGATTATCGAATGGTAAAGTTTTCAGTTTACACTTATCTTTTTTACACTTATTTTTTTATTACCATTTACGTATCATACATATACCGTATATTACATATTTACAAAATTCGTGTACAGATACATAAATATATAATGAAATTTGAATAAATAATATTCAAATATTATTTGAATCGATATGTTACATCAGTGTATCTGAGGTTAGTATGCTATGTTTTCGGTTTTGATGCTCTGCGCCGAATGCAGCTTCAACCTTATAGACCAGAAACCCATAACAGATTTTTTGGGCATGATAGTATTCAGTTGGAGACCTATATTACTTTACTATTACAGTATTAGAGACAACGGGAGACCAATTAGCATACGTGTACAGTGAATGTATTTGTTAAGAGTAAATTTTCAAAT